GATGATCTGAATAAAAATTTAGTTTTGCTTAGCGTGCAGCTGTTCATTGCAAACAGCTAGCAAGTTAGACTAAGCAAGCTAAGTAAGCTAGTAGAAACACTTCTACTGATGATTTAACTTCAATTTAAACAATATTTGTTGTAAACTTTTCGTTTGTTTTTTTTTTTTCTAGAATGAAAAGTTTTTTTTTTTTTCTTACCATTTCATCCTCGAAAAAAACAAAAAAGGAAAAATTTTATTCGATGACAAAGTTATCCATCCATTAATTTAATAAATTTATTAAATAATCAATTAATTTATTGATTGACTGCTTCACATATCAGCAATCGATTATAATAAACTACAGAGTATATACGTCATTATTGGATGAAATTTGGGCAGGTAAGATAAATTGTTGGGAATGTGAACATGGATGGGCACGAACAAATAGCACGTTTAAATTTGTCGATTTGCGCTCTGGAATGTTGTATTGGTTGTAATATGATGCACCATATTTTCATGTATTATAATGCATCATATTTTTTGATTTATATAAAATCGAAAGTGTATAGATGAAAAAGAAAAAAAAAATATTTTTTAATTTTGATAAAGTTTTGTGAGCAATTTGAATGTTTGTTTCATTAAAATTATCAGAAAATACATCTCACATGTTTTTGTTATCATTTAATTTATTGCTTTATCAATAAAGAAATCTCAGAAAATACATTCTTTAATATTTTGCTATTACCTACTTTATTGTAGCTAATAATAGATATTTGTGAATAAATTAAATTATTTGATAAATTATTGTTGACAAGAAAGAATATTCAATTAAGGATAAAATGATATGAATGATTTCAAATTAATATAACGAAAATAATGGTATTTTAATAATTTATGCTTAGATATATTTCTGACAAACGATAAAGATTTAATCATCTGATAATGATGCTAAAATGATAATTACACTATTGTGCTTACAACTGTATATAATTGATTTGAAATTAAATTTTTGATATTAGAATGATATTATAATGATGATAAAGTTAATTCAATTAAAACTATCGAAAGCACATTCCACATATTTTGCTATCACTCACTTTGTTAGTTTATCAGTAAGAAATATTAAAATGCAATTGTTTTTTTTTCTTTTTTTTTATGAGAAGTTTATCGAAATAATTTCAGTGAAATTGCTGGCACCAACTAGAAAGTAGTTACTATTTTGGCAATTTAAAAAAAAAAAAAAAAACAAAGACTAAAACAGACATATGGAATAACATATCAAATGTATTCAATTCAATCATCAACTGATAAAACAATCGCGCACTTTAAATCAAGTACTGAAATACTGGTAATCGACTGTTAAATGCTCTTATGATATCTTCAAATTCTAATAGAAAAATTTATATCACAAAATGAAATTGTTGTCTTATGAAAATAATAATTGTTTTCTTTTTTTTTTGTTTGCCATAAGAAATTGTTATTAAGTACAACGATTAATTTCAACAAATTTTTTAGATTTAAGTTAATTTAATGTGTTCAGCTTGTGGTAATCATCAAGGAAGTGATGATTTTAAATTGAAAGGCAAATTTATTGTATTATTGTGAAAACGCGGACATCAATTTTTTTGTAAATAATAACAAAAATTAATATATTTACATAATTTAAATCTAACTAATAAAGTCATAAACTTGCTGAAAATATACTCGAGACATCTATTATCGTAAACTGAAATGATCATTTTGCGTAAATAAATGTTTCAATTCAAAGAAAATAATAACAAATATTGCAATAATTAAATATTGACAAAGCAGGTAAACGAAATTTTTGTGTATATAATTTTAGGGCATTTCAAAAGTAAAAATTTTTAAATCTATTCTAAAAATTGTTTCAGCTTGGACATGAAAGATGAATAACTGTAAAAAATTTTTTTATCGAGTTGTAATAAATTTACTAAATATAAAAAAGAATGATAATGCAACTGAAGTTTTATCTTTCTTAAAATTAAATTTGAAAAAAATTTCAGAAATGGAAAGGAAAAAAATGAAAAGTGGAAAGTTAAAATTTTGCACAAATATGAAAAATACGATCAAATAAATTCATTTATAATTTATATTACCTTTACAGTATTTTTTTTGTTATCAGAATTTTTTTGATTTCAAATTAATGAAAAAATATTTGGATGATATTACGATACAACAGAATGCTAACATCGTGAATATTTAACAAAGTTGTTTAAAGTTGTTCTTTTAATGTTATTTAGTACTTATCAGTCTTCTGATTGAGATATATTTAAACAATGAAAGTCAAAAAAAATATTTCAAGAGCCTACCTTTAAAATGCTTTAATGAGTCTTAATGAAATAAGATTTATAAATATATCCTAAATTTGTTTCAATTTGACACTGACAGTTATATTTATTATTGTGATATCATCTTGTTAGCTATTAATTTGCTTATTACTTCTAACAACAAATAAACTGTAATTTTTTAAAATGTAATCAATTACTGAAATTGAAATGCTTGATTATTTTGAGCAAAAAAAAATCTCATTGAACCTGTATAAGTGATCTTACCAAAATTTGAAAGCATGCAAAATACAATATTTTTAAAATTAAAATATACTATTAGAAAAGAGAATTTTGCATTTATATATATAAAACAAAAAAAATTGAAATCTAAACGATGTAAAATTTTTTAAAACAAAAAATTAAAAAGTTGAAAATTTTTATACTTTTCAAAGTTAGCAATGCAAAAGATTTTTTTTTTTACTTTATAATGCTGATTCATTACTTTTAATGAATATAAAAAAAAAAAATTGTAATATTTTAAAATTCAATAAGATGAACAAAATTAAGTTTATACAAATCAAACTTCATTAAATTATTTCCAGCAATTTAGCAGTAACAGTTGGCATGCAAGTAATTGAGAAATGGTCAGTTATAGGATTCCGTAAATTAATTTATTGCGCAAAACATTTTCTATTGCGCGCATTATCGTATACCGCCCAGAATGGCGATGTACCGTAACTTTCCATTTGATATGTAATTTTTTACATCGGAGGTGAAATGAAATATTAGAATAGAAGTTTCTGAAATTTTTTAAATGAGAAAAGGAGAAATTTGAATGATTAACAGCAAAATTTCCTGAATTTTTTTGTCATCTAATATAATATAATTATTGTGATTAAAGTTTGAAAATTTCTCAAAAATTTTTCGTGTATACAATTTCTTAATTCGTTCTTTCTTCTAATTTAAATGTATGAAATTATTGAAGTTAAATTAAAAAATACTTATCATTTACGACTGTATTACTTGTCATCAAAATCATTTATCATTTCCTGACTTATCATTTATGAGAATGGTGCTGCATAAATTAATATAAACTGTAATTTCATTTTATTTTCCTGAAATAGTAGGTCTTTTTTTGGAATCAAAAGAAATCAATCATTTTATTATCTTGTAGCTATTAGTAAATCATATCAGGGAAACTTTCTGAAGAATTTTCAGTTGTCTTCTTTCAGATTCATTTATATTCTGTTGAAAACATAAATTAATAAGCCATATCTATTTTGGAATTGTTTTTTATCTTAGCAGAATAATTCACTTTTTATTAATTAGACTTCATTTTTATCATAACTTATATCTCTCAATCTTTTTTTTTTTAATTTCAAAAATTTTTTGCAAGGATAGTATAAGTAAACTTTATCAAATTGAAAATTTTTATCACTTAAACATCACTTTAATATTAGATGGAAAAAATATTGTAGTAAAATATATACAATTGAATTAATTTGCTGAATTGATAAGAATAAAACTGATCTTTATTTTATTGTAACGAAATCATTGTTTACGATTAATGGATGTGCCATAAGGTAAAATGATGATAGGATGTCAACTGGACAGAAATTATAAAGAAAAATTAAATAAATAATTTGAAAATTCATTTTTTTTTTTTGTTCTATTTCCTTTTATACAACTACTTATATATTTTATTGAACTATTGTTCCTCTTCAATTATATCAATTTTTAGGAAAAAAATTAAGGAATATTTACAATGTTTAGAAATATCAAATATTTATCAGGTCGAATGATTTTGCTAATCACAAATTTTACTGTAAGAAAAAAATTCACATTCCTCACTTCTTAAGAGGAAAATGAGAGGAAGCATATGTGTAATTTGATTGGAGTTCGTCATTTTTACGCAAATAAAGCATGTTTCTCTGTTTTCTTCCAAAAAGAAAAAAAAACTTTACCTTAAACAAATTTCCAACTTTTACTTTTATTTATTCGACTTTTTTTCCTCTCAAGTATTCTAATGAAAATTTCAAACAGAAAAAAAACGGAAAAAAAGAAGGAAAAATAATACAATGACTGAAAATTAAGGTCGGAAAAAGGGATAAGGTTAAAGAGGTGAGACCTTATTATTCACTTTGACCTTATCATAAAACTTTCACTCGATTAGTATTTTAAGGAATATTCAAAAAAAAAAAGTCAGAACTTACTTCCTAAATCTTCAATATCAACACATCATCCTTGACCTCACCTCTCCTTTCTCTCTCTCCCTCCCTCTCTCTCTTCGTCTCTCTTTACTTTTCTCCATTATTCTCTTTCTGTCATAGGATAAAATGACCATTTAACTGCTTTCTAATAAATCATTATCGACTTTTGAATTGCCTATATGGTTGTTTTTTTCACTATATCACTCCTAATTTTACCATCGATAATAATAACAATATTTACTGATATAATTTGTCTAATTATAGAAACTTCAGCTCTACTATGTTCATATATTGTTCAGTATAGAATGATATTTACTAGTGTTATCATTTGAGAGAGAAATTTGCATACTATCATTACTGATTATTTTGTTGTGCATTTGCATTATTATCATTTATTATTGAGTTGTTGTATTTGTGTTATTTATATATTTTTTTTTAATTTAAACAACAATTTTATAAAATTTTTTTGTTATATGATCAACAAATATTAATCCAATCCATTCAAGTAGTGATAGCACAATTAGTTATTACTCCTCTTATCACTATCATGAAATATTTTGATTAGAACCATACCGTAACCTGATGACACATGCAACGCTTCAAGACCCATGCTGCAACTGTTTATAGCAATGCCAGGGACAATACGCGTTGATTGAAGGCGAGCGTGTCGCGTTGCGTTCCGAAGTAATGCATGAGGGTGGGAGAATAAAGGGACGAGAAGGTAGGTGTAGGCTTCTTGGGGAGAGGTGGGAGGAGGGAGGAAAAGCTGTGCATCATTTAGCTGAATGCATTCCGTGGCACAATTATGCATTTGTAAACGGATTTCCGGATGATATTTTCCGGAGTGGCAAGTTTTTATCAACCGATTCCACCAGTATGTCTACACGATGTCATCATTTTTACGAATCGGTAGATCCTATACTTCACACCAATTTTATAATCCTTCTTCGTATTTTCCGGTATCCATACTGCTGTTTTACGGAATTACATTCTTATTCAATTAAAGGACGAGTCACGACGAACAAATAGATGACTGAGATGGTACCATTTGGTAGTGTCATATCGGAAGCTCTGCTATGGGATTACTGTATTCATAGTGTGTCTGTCGGTTTGTTTTATCTATTCCTGAAGTGTTTGCCGATAAGGTTGACCGGTCAAAAGACTGTAATAGTGAAGTTTAAAGTTTGATAATTTTAGAATAAAAGTATGCAGAAGAGTTATTTCTTATTCAAGCCAAACCATAATGGTAATGTTAAATTGTAATGTCATTGCTTACATATGGAAGCTATCCTTGCTTGCATTAATAAGTATTCATGAAGCGTATGTGAAAGTTGATGAATTACTGATCCCACTTGTTTTATCCGTAACCAATGTACTTGTGTGATCAGCTGGTGATTTTTCGGCGGCAAAGTTAAAAGGATAAATTCCTCCGCCTTCTACCGCTATGCTTGGCGCATTACTTCCATTCCGGTAAAAAAATTTGAGAAATGCCGAATACTTTTTGTTTGAGAGTTTGATAATAATGAGATATGCTACAATTTAGTAATGGAGTACTCAGTGTAGTATCGGAAATGATGCCAAGATAAAGTCACCTGGCTTATTTAGCTCTTACGAGCGACCAAGAGGGAAGATAGCAAACAACGTGACAGGTAGCTGCAACAGTATGAAAATCACCGAAAAAAATAAAGCTTTAATTTAGAACTGAAATGACATGCACAAACAAGTATGTGTGCGAAGTGAACTCATGTATATGAGTTGGACTTAAGGGTACCAACTGAAGTTATACGAAATGGAGCTATATATACAAACTGGACGTACATATGCCAAGCGAAATTTACTAGAATGAACTGAAATCACCAAAGAGACTTACGTACTCGACGTGAACTTACGTGTGGGAGTTGGATTTACCTGAACTTAGAGAAAGGACAAAATTATGTGAAAAGGAATGCAATGAAAGTGAGCATGTAAACTCTGTTTAAAAAACATAACCATCTAAATTGTATTTTCTCACAAACTTCAAAAAATTCACCACCAAACTTGCCCATTCATAGCTTACTTGCGAAGATTGTCTAGAGCTGCCTCTTCTGACTCACATATATCTCTCTCCCTCGCTCTTTTTGTACAAATAAACTTCATAAAGTAACGGAATTCCACGCAGAAAAGAGAAGTGGAAGGAATTCTGGATTGGATTTTTATACACAAATGGTTAAAGCATCGTTGTGTGTAAACGCTTGGCGAATAATTGGGTTACTTTTTTTTTAAAAAAGGTTACCTTTTTTATAAGCTTTTATTTTTGTTTGAATGGAAGAGTTCGGTTATAGTGGAATTAAGTGAATTTTTAGATTTGAAAAAGAGAAAGATGGACTGAGGAATCATGTGATGATGATAGTGAATTAGAATGGTTATTTTATTCGTGCGCTATCAGCTCACTGCTGTTATTTACTCGTTCCCTAAGATATTATTTATTAATTTATTTATTCACATATTACGCTTGATTTCCAGGTTCTTTAAGATATATCGATGATGTAATGTACCATTGTGGTGAATGTCGTTATCGAAGTTAAATTTTACGTTCGGAATTTTACATTTCTCTAATATTGCTGGACGATTTTTTTCAGCTTATCCTCCAGTACTGATGGAGGCATTCTGCTGCAACATGATTATTTATATATTGTGTATAATGGTGATTGTTTATACGAAATGTCTGTGATAAGGGAATCCGTGGATACACTGGAATTTTATTCAAATTTTGATTTTAAATTATTCCTTGCTACTGGTTATTCTTCTGTGAACAGTTATGTCGATAGAAGAGAACGATGCCACTTTGGTGGGACTCGATTGGGAAACGTGGCAGCGTGTGACACAAACACGTGGTTTGACGGCTGCTTCCGGTACAAATTACGATGCTGCTGCAATGCCGTCACAGAGTAAGTTGATTTGATTTCAGTCCAGCATATAGGCCGGTAGACATTGTCAAACATCAGTCGGTCAAGGTAATCCTTCCTAAACTGCCGGCCGAATCTTGCTTACTTTGACGTTGAAATGAAACCTCTATATCCCTGCACTGTTTTCTGCTATAATGTTACATCACTTTTATTTTTTGATGTAATACCTTTTTCAGAAGCAGTTTGCTACGGTTTTTATCCTAGCATTGAACTGGAATCCATGTTGCTTATCAATTGCAAGGTTAATTCCTTAACTCTATGAGTTGCGCCCATGTGCAGTCGTTTGTACGTTTCTCTCTTTTTCCAACAAAAGCAAAGTTTTGCAGTGTTTTTTTTTTGTGTTTTTTTTCAGAAGTGTGGCTTAATTTTGAAAGATGTTGGTTATGGACATCACATGCGTTCCCAGCATGGCTATCATATGAATTCAGGCTCTAGCGATGAATGTCAGTCATTTTTGCTTTCTCCTCCTCATCGTGTCGTTTCCCCACGTCTGGAAATGCCCATTCTTTCGCCGCCTTATAGGCAATTATCCACGCCGATTGCATCACCTAAGTTTGTTTCAATCATGAAATTAAGTGCTGGAAGTAACTGAATGTGATACATATTTTTATTCAAATGTTAATGTTTAAAGTGACTTTTTAACTTTCTTTCATTTTAGAATAATTCTTTCAGTTCATTAACGATTTTCAGGGAGAGCTCAGGTCGAAATGGAAGTATTATATCTCAGGCTACCTCAACAAGGTACTCCGTGGAACAGAAAGACGATCTCAAGCTTTCATTGCGAGTATCTAGACATAAAGTAAGTTTTTCAACTGGAACTATGATTTACTAGATTTCAGAACCTCAGTCCAAAATTATAACACAGCAAAATGTTCACTTGGGGTTTACATAGCTTTTTCTCTTTTTCTCATACAACGTATAAACCAGCGAGAAAAGTCCAAACTTCTGTTTATTCAGAAAAAATTAATATTTTTTATTTTTTTTTTATATTAGTGGTTTTTATAAACTGTCTTCATTCATTTATCCCAAGATCTGAGGATATATAAATTGACAGGTGTCAAGTGGAGCAAGTAGACAAAACAATTCATCTTCGCCTAATCATATCAAAGAAGAAGTACGGATAAGTGATAAAATTAATCGGCGATTAAATGGTAAGATGAAAGACAAGAAAGGGAAGAAAAGAAAACGAGATTCATCTGATGAAGACAACTTCTCTTTAGAACATTTTCGGCAGAAAAAACGGTTATCTAAAAAAGGTATTACCTTTGTTATTCCAACAGAATGGGTGTGATTTTCGACTCACATTCTTCTTAGTATTAACTGAAAAAATTTTCACTGGTTGAAGCGCATTAGTATTGTCTCCTTAAATAGCACAGTACTTGTTGTTTAAATAGATTCACCATATTGTCTTTATACTTATAATTTAACGAAGTTATTACATAAAAAAGCTTGATGGAATTGTATTTTTAGAGCAAAGTGCTGGGGAAGCAGAAGAGTCAGCATCGAAGAATGTTCTTGTCAAACATGATAATACGGGTAATAGTCATATTTATAATGATGTTGCAACAGCTTCTCAAAGCGTGAAAGATTCCACTGAAATTGATGGAGTTCCAGTGGAAGCATTAATACAACCAACTTCTATTTCCACGTTATTACCGACAGATGAAATAGTGCAGCCAGAAACTGCGCTGAAATCAATCGATAACATAGAAAGGTTGCAAAAAGAGCACGAAGATACATTTGATGCGAAAGAACAAGCGGAAGTGATGGCAAGTTATTCTGGGCAGTGGAATGAACTGGATTTAGATACAGATTATGCAGATTTGTCTCAGGATGTGACAGCGTGTCCAACATTGAAGTGAGTCATTTGTCTTAGATTTAACTCAAGTGCGAGAGATTTAATGCGTCTTTTCAAAAAATATTGGCAAAAAAAGAATAATTTTATTAACGATTTTATTTTGAAGACGCAGTGTGTTTTTTCCTGTTTTGAAAACTTGAAGTTTTTATATTTCAGATTTTTTCTTTTAAATATCATATGGATGTATGCAAGTAATTTACCTCATTTCAGATCAGAAAAAGGCGAAATACAACAAAACTGGACATCGAACCCGATGTTATCACTAGAAGATCCGAGTATTGAGAGTCATCTTTGTGAAGATTTCGATCCACATCGATTTTACGTGCCATCACCTCCTCAACTGTCTCCGGTAGCAGAGAAGGATTGCTACATGAATCCTGTGACAGCATCTATTGCTGCTTCACAAAATGACATTTGTCATGACCATCATGTGGAGGAGGATCTGTTATTGCAACCTCATGAAAGACTTTTTTCTAACGGGTATCGAGAAATGGTCGATTTGTCGCGACCATCATCCCCGCATCCAAACGAAGATGTGGGTTTAAATGAATACGATGCTGTTCATCATCGGTGTGTGGTTTTAGAGGAAGATGAAGATGCAAATGTAAATCGCAGCAATATTGAGACCCGATATCCGATTGAGGAAAGGATTGTTGCGACTGGACCGTATGTTTTGTTTCACTCCACATGTTTTGATAATATGTTCTGCGACTGTTTTCGAAATTCTAATGTATCAGTGCGGTTTGTGAAGATATGGACTTACATGGTATTCCCAATGACATTACACAGAACTGTTTTTATTGATTCAAGACCTCTGCGCAACTGATTTTGTTTCTAGGTGTTTATATGGTTATCCACAACCAGAGGTTTCGGAGGATGCAAGAAATCGACGTCTACCTCGTAATGAAGAAAGTTACGTGGGAAGTGAATTCGATCACAGAACACATCCTATAGTAGAGCGAAAGATATGTTTGCCTCATCAACAGCTTCGTTGCCCACAACTTATTCCGGTTTCTTTTTGAATCTTCCTATTGTAATTATTTTACGTAGTAAATTAATGCAGTGTATTTAGGAATGCAAAGTGGAAATCTTATGTCGAAAACCACTGTAATTTTTCCTGTTAATTCCGAGTGGAATAGGATCAATACTAGTCTGTCTAGGCGAAAGAAAAAAGTGAAAATAAAATTATGACCAAGCAAATCTCTTTTCAGGTTGCTTTTGTGCCACAGAAAAGGAACAGTCGGACGTGTTCATCACCACCGATGGAAAGATTTTGTGCTGGGTATCTTTATTAAGTTAACCAAGTTGCTGGTTTCAAAATAAAATCTTGCACAAAATAAACAAAATAGCATTTTTATTTTATGATGTTTCACTGTTTTAGAGGTTTATCATATCGGGATGTCTATATCGATCCGGAACAGAAAATCTATTATCCAAATGCCAGGTTACTGACGGTGCCAGTCAATGGAAAAACAACTGTAGATTATCCACAGCAAACAAGGTCTTCACCTCCCGATATTTTTTCGATGGAACAAAATTTTGGGTTTGTTTCCAAAGATTTTTTCATCATTGGCTAAGTTCTGAGGTTTATTCCGATACTCTTCCCTGTTTTATCCATGTTTTAATCACAGCAGAAATATATTTGTTTGTTTTCATTAACATTCCTAAAATATTTTGCTGTCAACATTTGGTGCTTGCAGTGTGCACGATTTACCGGACGATGTAGAACGATTACCTCAACTGCCAAGTTTTCACAATAATACGGCAGACGGGATGCAAAGAGAACTGCGCGATCCGATGCAGTTAACGGTTGTTAACCAAGGTAGTCATTTTTTTATCAAGATTTCTTTGTTTAACTGTCGTATTGACATTTTTGTTGTCATATTGACATTTCATTTAGCGTACTGTTACTTATAGAGGCGCAGCAACATTTCGATCAGATCGATTATAATTTACGGTCTGAACGCAGTCGGCTATCTTTAGGAAGAAACTCGGCTATAAAAATTGCTGATGAAGTAATATCTGAACATCCTTACGAATACAGTCCAGTGACATCAGTCAACTTAAATGGCACTCGGTATTTTTTCAAAGTTTTCGACAAAGTGAAAAAGTGACATTTTTTACGACGATTCAAATAGTGAACATAATTCTGTCTATGTACAGTCTTTTTTCTTTTTCACGAAAAGTTCACTTTTTACTATCTTGAGAATTGGGAGAAAAGAAAGGCTAAAATCTCTGATTATCAGTTCCTCAGCTTGTTTCAGAAGTTCGAATTATGTACCTCACGTGATGCGAAAAAAAGGATTTTCTCCGCGGGTTATTCGTACAGTTCGTTCTCATGCTGATACGGTGCACCAGCCTGCTGCATCACAAGTAACACCACATGAAGTTTGTGTACCAATTCATGGTAGGACCGTGATACGTCCGGAATATCGTTATGTGTACATGCCGTCGAAATCATCGCATTCTTCTGATCTCGATCATATATATAATGTTAGTTTATTCATGTCAACATATATTCTGTTCAAGAAATGAAATAATTCATAATATATGAATACATGATTTGCTTTTCATGAATCTCTCTCAAAAATGAAAGAAATTTCGTAACTAAAGTTTATATATTTTTTTCTTTAAACTCCTTCATCTTGTAATGAAATGAGGAATTGATCTGCTGCAGAGACAAAGGAAAGATCGTGAAAGAGAGATGAATGAATTCGGCTGTACGGAAATCCGACATGTAGAACACCAGTCACAGATCGAACCAACGATAAGGCAAGTAGCCATACAAAAGGTGCAACCAGCAGTTTTGAACAGAGTTCGACCTTTAACTACAACAAATGGTACATGCTTTTATACTTCACACAAACCAACTGTAGCTAAGAAAATAAGGAATATTATTTATGGAATGAAAGTTCTTATTTTTAAAATAAGGAATTATTTATGGAATGAAAATTGCTTGTTTTTAAAATACACTATTGAAATCATCTTATTTTGTAGTAGAAGGTGCGCGAACTGTGAAAGTACCAACACATCGACGACTTAGTCATCATCATTCTTCATCTGGAACTGAAAAAACTTTTGTTTTTCATCCGGAATTGAAAAATGAAAGAAGCAGTTATTCTGCTACTTCCATCGCAGATGCAGTACGTATTAATTCCAAAGATCGAATGTATCAAGGTACATATGAAAATCGGATTCAATATAGTTATTTAATACACTGAATGGTACTTAAGAATCCCAGTAATAATTGTTGTGTCATCAAAATAGTAGGTAATATGACCATTTTGTTCACCGAATCGTGGATGAAAATTGGATTACAGTGTTGCAAGTTTTTTTGGAGACAACCGTGAGTGCTTGGTAAAATTTTAGAAAAATGAAGACATATTTTTCAGGTTGCGGTTACGCTGCTGCGGGTAACATACAACGAGGACCGAATGTTGCAACTAGAAGTAAGCAGCGTTCAAACTGCACTTCTTCATATCAGATTCAGCAGAACACTGCTTTACGGCAGGTGCGAAGGACAAAAGTAGCACCACCGGCGGATGATATGGAGAGTCGATTTGGAGGTTGGTTCTCTTTTTTTTTTTTTATTTTTTAACGTTCATTAACTTCAAAAACCTTTATATATTAATAATTTTCATTTTGAAATGAGGAGTGCGTTATGATTAACTGCACTGTTTTCATCGGCATAATGTAACAAAAGAAGCTTATTTAAATTGAATATATCGCATCGGTTCATAAAAACCTTTATATGTTAATAACTTCAGAAATGTAGTAGTAAACGTTTTCTTAATCCTTAAACTTGCTAATAGTAGGTAGGGAGCGGGAGGGAGGTAGTCAGCTTGTATGCATGGATGTTTCAGACACGCAAGTTGCATCATAAACCAAAGAGCAGTGTAGTAAATAGTCAGCTGAACTGTCAGAATGATCATTTGTTGTGATAACGGACTGCCGATGTTGTTTTGAAACATTTCTTTTTTCTCTCTGTCATGCTTTGTTTTTCCACTGCTTTTCAATTGCTAGATAACGTGTTTTTAGGAATTTGCTTGCTGATGCGACATGGCTTTCTCAAATCACCGAAAGACTTTTACTGTCTGTCAAAGTAATGTAATTTGTGTAAAGCTTTTTTCTTTCCCCGTCATATAAAATACCTCATATTGTGGTAATAGTTTTGCCACGAAATTCCAGCTGATTATGTTGGTTCACATTTACTGAATAATGGGATGGTAAGAGACTGTTCGTCGTTCGCACTATCAATGGAGAATCGTCCAAATGTACCGAATGGTATCACTGTTCAAACAGCGCAGCTGCGTAATGCCTCTTTTCTGGCATTCGTAGTGATAATCGACGTACAATTGCTGTTGTTCCAGTACCGGTACTAGCAAAATGTTCAAATTCAACCCATTACAGTGACAGTTATCAAACATCTCTGTTTGGTACTGTTGCATCCTCATCAACCAATCCCGGTATTATCCCAATATCATCATTAGCTTCGGAAGCGCATACTTTCTGATTGCCGAAATAGTACCGTGGGTAACGTACGCTTGTATATTTTTCATTGGGAGGATAGAGCTTATTCCTGGAATAGTTGCATTTGTATAAATCCGTCCAATGAAAACAGCTGTTGAAAAGGCAGTAGTGAGATTATCTGTATTTATGTAACATGCTTTGTAATTTGTATTGTGTTTTCAGTTGTAAGATTAACTTTATAAAGTTTGTGTGGGGTGCAGTTTGTACAGCTCTATCATATTTTTTTTTTCTATTTTTTTCACCATTTTGATGAATGATTTATCTCATGTGATGAATGGCTGAATGATGTATTTAATACGGGTATAAGCAAGATGAAACTAATTGTAACATATGCATGTTGTATGATTCAACCTGTATCATATTTAATATATCCATTCCTGTTGAACATATCCTCCTTTAATCATCTTAAAACCTTAGCTCCGATTCCTCGAATTGAGAATGAAGTGTGTGGGATGTTATCTGATCGTTTTTGAAAAGAAACCGATACGTTTTTACGAGATTAAATTGATGCTTATTCATGATATGTCGTTTTTTGAACGAGCTATTCAGCCCTGGAATGCTTTTTGCTTAGATCGAAATATGAAATTTCATTATGCATTGGAATTGTTGGTTAACATGGTTTCAATTATTGATTGTTTGGGGTAGTGATAATTTATCGTCATTGCCGATGATTTTATTATCTTCGATCCGCATGTAATCTTTCTTATGTGTATATTGTTTATAAAAGCTTAAGGGTGGGTATCTTCATCAGTCATCATTTACAGTTGTTAGTATTATTTATTTACATTTTACGCATTTTACATTTAATTCGATTTGTGCAAGAGTGGACTCGTAAAACGAAAATTTGAAAGCTCTCAATTTTTTTTTTTTTTTTTGTAAAACTTCGTACTTTATTGTAATTAATTAATTTATTATGAATTCCGTGTGATTCAAATTGTATTGAGCAGGAAGTTTAGATGCACTGCTGATTTATAGGGAAGAATTTTCAACAATGTTAAAAGGTATGTAGTTTCTCAAGAATTTTTATGTCCCGAGACTTTTTCTTAGCGAATCTTCCTGTTTAATAATAGTTTACTTAAAAAGAAAAGGCATTATAATGGGTAACCGATTTCTTTCATTTACAGCATTGTTCTCACAATTATTGAAATTGTTATTGATAATTTTTGCTATTATACATAATCTGTTTTGTATTTGGTGATTAGGTTTGCTCATTGTATCTTGTCTCCTTCTTTTTTTTTTTTTTTTTGTATTCCAATGAGTGATAAAATTTCGTTTTTGCTTACTTTATAGCTTTTGCATATGAAATGTGAATTCATTTTACAAGACTCGACTTAACTGGTCGAAGTTGTTTTCAACTTTCCAGAAAGTTTTTAATTTTTGGTGTGTTGTTGAGTGCATATAAATTTTTTGTTTAGTTCTTAGTTTTAAAGATTTTGTGAATACTGATATATTGTTTATAATGTATTCGTTTTAGTCTTAATCGTTTTTCGTCCAATAAAATGAAACTTTCTTTCTGGAAGGTAAGGGACGAAGCTGCTAAATTTTAACATAGCTATTGTTACACTGTATGATTCTTCGAAATTTGTTTTTTTTTTTTCCTTTTTTTGAATGATTAAAGATTTTACTGTTTTAAATTTGTATAATGTGGTATCTAAATTATTTGGTTTTTCTTAGTTTCCAATATGTTTAATCAGGGAATGAATTGAGCAGAATAGTTTGTTGGCTATGGATTCATCAGTTCTTTTATGGAAATTTGCGTATAGTGATATATGGTATAAAGTTACTTCGCCATTGTTGCATGACATTCAACATCCTGATGTTATCCTGAATTGTTGTATGCTGGTTTGGTATTTTTGTCTTCTTTTTCCGGAAATTGTTCGGTAATTTATTAAACGTTTGGTCCAATAGATTTAATAGGAAGCGATTCTAACTCGAAAAATGCAGTGACTGGAATTGTAAGAACTAAAGTGCATGAAATATACAGAGTTATTACTACAAATCAGTCGTTAATTAAAGGATAACGACTGTGAATTTAATTATGAACCGAGATTTCTGTGATTGAGTTAACTGGATTTAAGTATTCAATTTACGACCAGAGGGATTTTTTCGAGGAAGTAAGCTGCAAAATGTTACTTTCTAGCAAAAAAATTGCGCCGTATTTGTTGTTTGGAGTATGTGCATATCTTTTTACCTGAAGGTATGGTTGTGAAATAATGCGAAGAAGTTTTGAATTTCGGATGCGTCGGTGACTCATTTCCAGAAATTCCATTTAAGAACAATTGGAAAGGTCAATTTAAGAAACATTCGACAATTTTGTAAGTGGTGATATTTGTGTTTGTATTCATGACAAGACCCGATGTCATGTAGTACGCGTTATTCACTACATTGGTGTTGAATACTGTCTGAAAGATTGCAAGCGTTTGATTTCTTTGACTGCAGGTTAACTGTGTTGGAACTGGTGGAAATGTCATAGAATTGGAATATGTAGAATTTTATCCGATAAATATAGGTACCTATATTGCATGTATTATACTAAATATTAAAGCATGTGGTCAAATATGAGTTATTTCGAGACTATAAAAAATAAATATAATTATTAAACAATAAAAGAGATGAAAATTTTTACAGCTTGATGATTAACATATTTTGCCGGATTCTGTCTATCCAAGATCAGAAAATGATCGGAAAAAAAGTCACTCTTCAAAGTTCAAAAAAAGTTTCGTTTTTATTTATTTTTTCTTTCTTTAAAATTTAAATTGCGCGCTTCGTTTCTGATGAACAAACTAAATTGGAAAGGGTGAATGGCGCCGCTATGTCGGAGCAAATGCACTTACGATCCGAGTAGCAATACTCCCACCTTTTGCTTTTTTTATTTGCTTCAGTTTTCTTTTTTTTCTTTTTTCCTGGCAATCGTTGTTGAATATGACCCCCATCATATCGATATTTCCTGTTCCTGATTGCCAGAATTTTTTTTAATCATTGTTCATTCTCTTCTAAAATTCTCTGTTTTTCTCTGCTTGACTATTTATTTAAAAAAAAAAAAAAAAATCCCTCGTATGAATGTTTTAATTTAATACTAACGTATTGGTGCAAACATTCTCTAATAATATCGGTTCACTTTCAAGTGTATTTCTCTTAATTGATAGTTCATTTTAGTAAACAATTCCATCTGATTAATAATCATAAACTTAGTTCTGTTTAAAAAAAAAAAAAAAAGTATGACTTGTTTAACTGATTTTCTTATTATTTCCTGCAACATCAAACGGTAAATATTAAGGAATTAATTTGACAACTTTATACATGCATAGCAGTTTGCAAATAACTACAAGGTGTTAAGTCCTTATGTAAGTTCTCCGTTACATGCTTATGAATGGAACATAAAAGTTTTTTCGTTTCTTTACACATGCAGTAGTAATGAAAACATGATTGAAAAGTGCGAATTTTCCTACAAAACTTATTTCATATAATGGTGGAATTCGAAAATTGAAATCTTAAAATTATGATAGTGAAGAAAAAAATAAATTTTCAGATGAAATCTGTGAAATTATGGACATTCGGGGTGATTGAAATGCTCACTGCTGTTTTGCTGTTTGGATTTTTCCATTTGTCTGCCAATGGAAACTTGCAGGAATATGGTTGGTTTTATTAAACTGAAATGTCATTATCACTAGTGTCTGTTGAATTTAGAAGTAAACGTTAGAAACATGAAGTTGCAAAAGTTGTAGATTAGTATTTTTCAAATCCCATGTACGTATGTTCACATATACTCAGTATATTTACTATTAATGAGTTCTAAAAATCTTTAATGGTACAATTTTATTAATAAGGCATGTGATTTTATTTTCAAGGTCGTAAACAAGATCATGATTCGGCTGAACGGTACGATGCAGATGGTGACTTATCAGTGCCAATTGATGCTCAGGGACGACCGCATCAATTCAATTCAAGCAGGATTGAGTCAGAAGCTGATCGAAAACGAAAAAATGTATGCTATTTAGATGTGAGCATAGAAGAGATGTATACTTCGTACATATCTTTCAACAACTTGTTTACTTTTTTCTATGATTTAAGGTTGTATTTTGTTGCTTTCTAGCTCTTATCGCATAGTTGTTGACATGCAATAAGAAAAGAGCTAAATTTTATTTTAATTAAAAGTGTCACTGTCCCACATTTAATGTTGATAATACTAAATAACAAACTGATTTCATTTGTGTCGTTTATTTGTCTTATTCAGAGATGTTAGATTCTGAATGTTTATCTGACACAAGCTTCTTTAATTTGAACTTGCTTTAACTTTAATTTTAGAAGTATATGTGATATTTTTTAATGAAATTTTAGGCACCGGCACGATATGAAGATGAGCGAAGCTTTTGCTACTGTAATTATGCTCCGGAATTTTGTGGTGGATTTAAGAATTTTACATGCATCAAACATCTGGAAGCTTCTTGCTTTCATTTCACTGAAGAAGTTTGTTCGAGATCAAATGAATTATAACTTCTAGTTTCTGTTTTTTTTATACAAATTTACACATTTATTTATAAAATTAAAATTCTTCCTGCTATTTGTCACTTCGATTTTTAGATCTACGATAAGACACTGAAGCAAGTAGAAACAATGCATTTATTCGGTTGCGCCCCATTAACTCGTGGCTCAGGCGGTTCC